CGAGGGGGCTGGCGGCCACAGGGAGCCGCAGGCCGCCGCGCCGGAGCCCCGCGAGTCCGAGAAGAGCCACCCCGAGCGGGTAAGTGGGGGCCGGGCCGCGCGGCGCGTCCGGAACGAGGGTGAGGGGAGATGGGGAGAGACCCAGCGGCCGGCCCCGCGCCCGCCCCGTCTTTCTGCAACTCGATCCTCTGGGGGGGAACTGCTTCCGCCCGCCGCCCGGGCGCGCTGGCGGTTGCGGGCTGGGGGCTGCTTCCCACGACCCCCGCCCCTTCTCCACAACGGGCTGGGACTCCGAGCTTTTTTGCCACTTGTCCCTTGGCCATTGGAAGTGGGAGTGAGGGAGGGCGGCTCAAGGGAGCCCAGTCCGCTCTTCCTCGGTTCTGTTGGTGGGGTCCGCTCCCGTGTTTTGGGGAAACCTCTAATCCCGGCAGCCGACTCCCAACCTCCCCAGAGGGGCCCGCTTCCTCCACGGCCCCCGTGGGCGGTAACTGAAGCCGGGATGAAGCGAACGCGGCCCCGACTTCAAAGAACCGGAGGCATAACCCCCCGTTTGCGTGCGGAGCCCCGGCGCTGGGCGGGGAGGGGTCGCGGCGGGGCGGTCCCCGCACCCCCTCCGGCCCGCCGGTGTGTGTATCATTAACTTCGGCCGGCTGGACTTCATCCTCGTGGAGTCCGCCGTGACTTCTAAGGAAGAGAGGAAGCCCCGCCGTCCGAGGGCGATGTGGGGGCGGAGCGCGGGGAGGAGGTGCAGAGGTCTCTGCGGGCCGGCGGCGGCTCTGCCTCCCAGGATTTATGAGTCTCAGGAATGTGAGGAGTAAGCGCGAGCTGGTATCTGGGCGCCGGAGGGAGGATCTAGAGGGAGAAATAAGGCTGGGGGGGGGAGAGAGGGAAGGGAGTGGCCGGGCAGGGGCCAGCAGAGCGGCTTCGGGTAGGTGGTCTTGCCCAGGCAACGTCTGCCTCCCTCCAGCTCCTGGACAGCAAGAAGGCTGGTTGCCTTTTTACCCATGTTTAATGTTTCCCAAAACGATCCCAGCGTGGGTCAGCTGCAGGATGAGCAGTGGCAGAGCTGGAGTTGTGCTGAGCCTTCTCCCATCCAAGTACTAACCAGGCCCGACCCTGCTTAGCTTCCAAGATCAGGCAGGATCGGGTGCTGCCAGGACGGTTTGGCGGTAGACTGTGCTCAGCCCTCCGTCCCCAGAGAGTAAAAGGGGAGGCCTCAGGGTGCAGAGTATGGGGGGCAGGGCGTGGGCTTCCTCGGGCCCATATGGCTTGCACTAACTCTCCACCTGGTGGCAGCATGTGGCACAGGTGTCTGGTGCCAGCAGGAGCCTCCTCTGGACAGAGAAAGGGCACAGTTCAGCCTAAAGGTAGAAGGTGGACGCGGAGAGGACCAACTGATTCAGTGGAAGTAGAGGAAGTGAGGTCACTAGGAGCCTTGTCCAGCGGAGTTGGAGTTGGTTGCCAGGAATGCCAGGGCCACCAGGCCCCCACTTCTTGCCAGCATTGGCAAGGGTGGGGCAGGGGTGAGAACCAGGGAGTTGGAACCCATAACCTCTGGTCCCAGGCAGACATCCAATTTGAACTTTGCACTGTGCATCGATTTGCCATTCCTTTTTTTTTGGACTTTGGCACTGGCACAAGTAACCCGCCACCCCCTCAGCCCCCACACACAAAGTTGCATCAGGTCAAGCTCCTCCCATTACCCTTTTGGTTTTGCTGTTGGGTGTGGGAGGGCCCGGGGGAGGGGGAGGACCTAGCACATGCCTCCCCTCCTCCCCCATGCCATCTGAAAGGCAGCAGCCCGTGGCTTCCTGCTCTCTGGCTAGCACAGAATCAGATTGCCCCAGGTGGTGGTGGGACACCTGCATTTGTGTGTACTGCACTAGGCCAGGAGAAGGGAGGAGAACCCAGCCCCCTAGTCCTAGGGACACTGTCACCAGGCCTCTTGGGGTTTCAGGTCAAAAAGTAAACCAGAACTTCTCTGAGCCTTGGTTCTCCCATCTGTAAAATGGGGGGCCTTGGATTACAGTGATACCTGTCCTCTGGAATTTTACAAATAACGGAAACTATTTGAGCCCCTATGGGATGCTGAATTGAGCTCCTTTGTGCCCAGGCATTTGAATCTGAGCTCTGTGTAGCCACTGCCTTTAGCCTTATGCGCAGGTGGTCAGCACTGTTAAATCCTTCTGGTAGGAAATTCCCTTGAAATCTGGTATGGTGGACTTGAAGGTGACACACCCTGTCATTGCAAAAAAATGTCAATAAACATAAATTGTTTTCCTGAGAGGCCTCTCAGTGGGGTCATTCGTTAGGATATTTCTGTTAGTTCTCATAAGTGAAAGAGGTGTTACTTGGAAAAGTGCCATGCAGGGAGTGGGCGGCAGGTGACATCTGGGAAGAGCAGCCTGCGTCAGGATTGATACAGGCAGGGGTGAGGGGCTCCTGTAGTCTGGTGTAGAAGGAGGTGGAGGGGAACTTGCAGCTCTGCCACCTTTGTCGGTGGCTTTCCCCACCTCCACCCATTGGAGAGAGGGGCGGCAGCACCCCTGCTCACAACCTTGCAGTCACAGGATGGGACCTAAACCCTTGACCCTGGCGCCTGGCACATGGACTCACCGTGGCGGCCGGGCAGGCCTAAGCCAGCTCAGCTGCACTAGCTGGGCCACCTCTCAGCCTCTCTAAGCCTGTTTCCTCTTATGTAAGTTGGGGGCGATAGCAGCTACCTCGAAGGGTTGTCGGGGTTATTCAAGGATGTCTGTTAAACTCAGCGCCTGGCACCAAGTTCTCAGTAAACGTTGGTTGTTGGCATTTGAATTAATAAATATTTCACAGCGATTGTTGTCCCATCCATAGGGCAGCTAGCCCTGGAGGTGTCTCCCTCCTTAGGCAAGTTCACCTGTGGCCACACCTGGCACTCAGTATGTGCCCAGCCGGGGGTGTCACTCTGATTGAATAATCATACCCCACAGCCCTTCATAATCTGGCAGCCTTCGCTCCCCACCTCCCCTCATGTCCACCACACCAAGGGTCCAAATTCCCCTCTAGCACACAGTGCTCCTTGGCCTTTGAACCTTCACACCTGGTCCCCTTCAGCCTCCTTCTCTGTGGGGCGCACTCTCCAGAGCCACTTGCTTCCCAAGGATCCTGTCCTCACCTCCTCCTGTGCTTACATCTTTTATTGCTTACATCTTTTATTGCTCTAAACCACAGGATTGGACTCCTGTTTATGATCTATCACTGCTTGGTGAGTCCCCAGGGCAACACCTTGGCTTATGTGTGTTTATATCCCCGGCACTGTGCCTGGCACAGTAGGGAGGGGCTCAATCAAATTTTTTGAATTAGTGAATGGATGCATAACAGCCACCAGGGACCTTTGTCCTAAGTCATCTCAGTCGAGCACACCTGGGCCTGTTGACACCTCAAATACACCCAGAGATCAGAATTCCAGAAAGAACCTACCCACTCCTTTTTCTTGCCTACTAGCAGCTTCCATTTGAAAATTAGAAAGCCAAAAGTCTGGGTTTTGGGGTCAGCTCTGTGAGCCACTGGCTCTGGGCCCCTAATTGTCCATAGTTCCCTGCAAGCCTCAGCTTCTACCTCTCTGAAATGGGACCCCAGCACCCAGGGTTGCTGTGAGAATTCAAGGGTGGGGTGTGGGGGTATAAGTGCCAGCTTGGGGTGGGTTCCCACTGGACCTAACCCTGATTCCAGAGGCAAAGGTGGTGCAGGCACCCCGAGTAACAAGGTGGGTGGGTGGACACAGTTATCTGGCAGCCTAGCACCCTTTTCCCCATTTCTGGGAGGACAGCCAGGGTTTGAGCTGCAGGATGTTTGGATTTGAAATGGACAGGGTACGTGATCTTTCGTGCGTTGGTTCCTCCTCCTAAGCCATGTTTTGGGGGCTCTTTCTCCCCTAGTATAGCACTGGTTCTTACTTTCAGGGGTGTGTCTTAGAACCCAGCTTGCTCGGACTCCAGTGTCTGCCTGCATATCCATTGGGCCACACATTTGAGTTGTGCTTTGGGGGCCTGACTCTCCAGCTGGGTGTCTCTGCCCATCACAGTGGTATAAATTCAGGCTACTTGAACCATCTCCCTATAAGGGTCCAAGTAATTGAGCCCTTTGTGCCAGGACTCCCAGGAGCTCCTGTCCCCAACAGTGTCCTTCAAGCACCTAATAGAACATCTCCACCTAGAAGGGACAGGCTTCTGGCCCCATCCTGCCCTTCTCCTGTGATGGGCTGGGCAGGGAGTGTGGTGACTAAGTCTCTACCTTCACCCTCAGGTCCTAAGAATCCACCCTTGCTATCTCTGACCTATCCTGAAGTACAAAGGGCTTCCCAGGAGGCTAAGCTAGACTGTTGGCCTTGGCCTTCCTTTCCCCATCCTTAGGGATAGGACAACCAACCATGTCCCTAGACTCCTAGGCAATGTATAGATTCCTGCCCTAGCAAAGGGCAAGTAATACAGATTCCCTGAGTTCCAGGTCCCAAGTGCTGCTCTCTCCTGTGTGACTGAGCTCCTATCTCTCCTTGTGCCCTGCTGTAAGGTCATAGGTGGGGATATAGAAGAGTGTTTGGGACTGACAGCCAAGTGATTGAGAGTGAGACCTCCAGGATCCAAGCAGGCCATTGCCACAGCCACTGGCTACATGTGACTCTTAGTACTTGAAATGTGCTGTAAGTGTAAAATGCCAACCAGATTTTGAAGACTTAGTACAAATAAAATGATGTAAAATAGCCCATTAATAACCTTTTAAATGGATTAAATGGTGAAATGATAATGTTTTGGATGTATTGTGTTAAAACATACTTCAATTGATTTCTCTTGTTTCTATTTACTTTTTAATGTGGCTAATAGAAAATTTTTAATTACCTATGTTAAAATATAAAATTCAACTAAGTAAATTTGAAGGTCAAATTGGCTTTATTAAGTGATTCATGGGGTGGTGAACACACAATACAATATACAGATGATGTATTATAGAATTATACACCTGAAACTTACATAATTTTATTAACCAATGTCACCCCAATAAATTTTTAAAAAGCAGCTCACGAAAACAGCAGTTCATCCAGAA